ATTTAAAAGAGTCGATCATCAGATATTGTCCAAGATTAACCTTCAGGGTGGATATAGCTCGCTAGCAGCCTCGCACCGAGGACCTATCCACGTCATGATTTACCCAGAATGCTTTGTGTGCAAATAAAATGGCCCCGTCCGTGTTAAAATATATTTAAAAAAATTAAGAACTAAACAGCCTACAGTATTTTACAGTCTTTATTTTACAGTTAAAATACTGTATAGTTTATTAAATAAAATGTAATGTTACAACCAATCAGAGAGCCMTTTAAAGCCGTGCTTGTAGTTCCGCTCTCAGCCACAGGGGGGCAGCACAGCCGAGGCTCTGCTCCGGCTCCCCCCGGCTCCGGCTCGGCTTCAGTCTGTCACTGCTGCCGCGTCGAACCGGAGGTCAGAGTCCGAGCTGAGCCAGTTCCACAGACCCGAACCCACAGACCTGAACCCGGACTCCTCGTTTCGGCTCAGAACCAGGTGAGTTCTGCGCAGCTCCGCGACCGGAACCTGAGAGCCTTTCAGGCKCGCGCGGCAGCTCGGGGGATCAGGTTCTGATCGATCCCTGATCAGGGTCAGGCTTTGGTCTCCGAGGTTCTGCTGAAGTTCGGATAGAGATGAATGGATTCCTGGTCCAAACAGAACCCAGAGCCGGACTCAGAACTTTGTGTCGGTGTTCTCACAGTTTAAACCAGAAACGCGTTGAAAGACCCGGTCCACGGTCAGAACCACCGGGTCCAAAGTACTGGATCAGGTTCTGAAACCAAAAGTCTAAAGGTTTTACGGTTTATCTGTGTGTGTTAGTAAAATATCACATGAAACACTGAAAAAGTTCTGATCAGATGATCATCAGGTATCAGCTGAAACCTGCTGGTGGCTCTGAATTCATTTAAATCTTCATCTTTTGAAAACTATCTTTTTAAAATTGTAAAATGTTTTTATGTTTTTTTTTTTACATGTTTTGGATCAGGTCAGGTCATCAGATTGATCTTCAGCTCTTATTGAGTCTCTTTGGGTCCTGCAGACACGTGTTGGTTTGAGCTGGTTAACATAACTTCAGCTAACTCTGAACTCACAGGATCTGTCTCTGATCGGTCTCTGATTTATCTCTGATCTGTCTCTGATTTATCTCTGATCTGTCTCTGATTTATCTCTGATCTGTCTCTGATTTATCTCTGATTTATCTCTGATCCGTCTCTGATTTATCTCTGATTTATCTCTGATTTATTTGTGATCTGTCTCTGATTTATCTCTGATCTGTCTGTGATCTGTCTCTGATTTATACCTGATTTATCTCTGATCTGTCTCTGATTTATCTCTGATTTATCTCTGATCTGTCTCTGATCTATCTCTGATCTGTCCCCGATTTATCTCTGATCTGTCCCTGATTTATCTCTGATTTATCCCTGATTTATCTCTGATCTGTCTCTGATTTATCGCTGATTTGTCTGTGATCCGTCTCTGATTTATTTGTGATCTGTCTCTGATTTATCTCTGATCTGTCTCTGATTTATCTCTGATCTGTCTCTGATTTAGCTCTGATCTGTCTCTGATCTATCTCTGATCTGTCCCCGATTTATCTCTGATCTGTCCCTGATTTATCTCTGATTTATCCCTGATTTATCTCTGATCTGTCTCTGATTTATCGCTGATTTGTCTGTGATCCGTCTCTGATTTTTTTCCCTCAGTTACTTCATATTTTGTAGATTTATGGCCAAAGGCTAAAAAACAATATTCAGACTCGAGGTTGTGGAGGGATAAAACTGAAAGAATCACACAGTGCAGGTGTGTGTGTTTGTGTGATTCAGGAGCTGAAGATAAGCTCCGCCTCCCTCACGTTTCTGTTTGAGTCCAACAGAACTGATGCACTGTTTCCTTTGAGTTTCTGTGTGACCTGTCTGACGCTGGCTGTAATCCAGATTACAGATATTACCATCAGTAAACTATTCTAGTAAACATTTTTATCCCTGAGTGGCAATTTGTTGTGCTGACAGCAGTGACAAAAGAAGTGAAAAGAAAAACACACACGTACAATGCACACAAAAAAACTACATACATATATTCCATTTTAGCACTTACAGTAAAGGCCTGGAATTGATCGAAGCCAGTCATTGTGTGTCAAATCACCCAGAAAAGAGGGTGATTTGACACACAATCACACACACACACACAATCGATTGTGTTAAAATTTGGCACATTTGTTAAAAGTGAATGTGTTGATTTTATTCCCAGACTTGTACAGTAAGTTCTGTCGAGTCAGTAGAAAATCCTCCTGTTTGGGTTCTGGAGGACCTTCTGCCTCACATCTGGAAGGAGTTTGTAGATTAGATACAGTTTATCAAACTGAATCCTCCATCAGAGCTGAAGGTCCAGTTTGTGGTTTGAGTTCAGAAACAGAAACAACAAATCCTCCCGTCAGAGGAGCCAGGTTAGGACAGCAGCAGTTGCTGGTTTGGATCCGTGCCTGACCTTTGACCCAGCACTGAAACTCAACATCTGGATGTGTTACACAAGGAAGCATGTGTGTTTGCTTCCATCTCGTCTGTGACGTGTGAACCGTTGGAGCTGCTGTGACCCTGACCATGTTTCCTGATGTGGAGCCTGTCTGGGGTCGGTCTGCAGCACTTTCACTTCATGCAGGCAGGGTTTCACACCGACACCCTTTGAGGATCAGCCTCTGAGTCTTTGTGCAGACAGTCCTGTTGATTCACGTTCAGACGCTCCCACTTCACAACCTGCTCACCCGGTTTGGAGGAATGTCCCTGCAGGGAGTCTGGGTAGACCTGGGTACAGAACCACTCTGAAACTAGGCCACGTACCAGTCTAAGACTAGTCTAAACCTGGGTCTCTGACTAGACTAAAGTCTGGCTTCAATCCAGTCTAAAACCAGTCTAAGACCAGACTAAACCTGGGTCTCTGACTAGACTAAAGTCTGGCTTCAATCCATTGTAAGACCAGACTAAGACCAGACTAAAACCAGTCTAAGACCAACTTAACACTAGTCTATACCTGGGTCTCTGACTAGACTAAAATCAGGTCTCAATCCAGTCTAAGACCAGTCTAAAATCAGACTAAAACCGGTCTTAACACTAGTCTAAAACCAGTCTAAACCTGGGTCTCTGACTACACTAAAGTTTAGCTTCAATCCAGTCTAAGACCAGTCTAAAACCAGTCAAAGACCAGTCTAAAACCAGTCCAAGACCAGTCTAAAATCAGTCCAAGACTAAAACCAGTCTAAAACCAGTCTAAACCTGGGTCTCTGACTACACTAAAGTTTAGCTTCAATCCAGTCTAAAACCAGTCTAAAACCAGTCAAAGACCAGTCTAAAACCAGTCAAAGACCAGTCTAAAACCAGTGCAAGACCAGTCTAAAACCAGTGCAAGACCAGTCTAAAACCAGTGCAAGACCAGTCTAAAACCAGTCCAAGACCAGTCTAAAACCAGTCCAAGACCAGCCTAAAACCAGTCCAAGACCAGTCTAAAACCAGTCCAAGACCAGCCTAAAACCAGTCCAAGACCAGTCTAAAACCAGTCCAAGACCAGTCTAAGACCAGACTAAAACCAGTCTAAAACCAGTTCAAGACCAGTCTAAAACCAGACTAAGACCAGACTAAAACCAGTCTAAAATCAGACTAAAACCAGTCTAAACCTGGGTCTCTGACTAGACTAAAGTTTAGCTTCAATCCAGTCTAAGACCAGTCTAAAACCAGTCTAAGTCCAGTCTAAGACCAGTCTAAAACCAGTTCAAGACCAGTCTAAAACCAGTCTAAAACCAGACTAAGACCAGTCTGTGTGTTTCAGTCACACCTGTTTGCTTAATTAATTAATTGATTTTGATTTCCACTGAACAGAGTGTCTTTGTTTCAGGTGTTGAAACATACTTGTTGTTCTCCTGCTTWTTGTAGTAAGAACCTTCAGCCAGATTTAGCAGTGAGGTGTTTGTTGCTCCAGTCTGAGGTTGTGAAACCTAACCAGCCCCAGAAAACTGAAGAAACACTGCCTTTTTGAGAAGTAGATCCTCTCTGCTAGCTGCCATATTGTCATGTCATGTACCAGGTGTCTTGAGGGACAGGTGGGCTGACCTCTGAACTACAGAAGCCCCAAAGAGTGCACTGGTGGGAAAAATATCCAGAATTTCCCAAAAATTAAATCTTCATAAATGGCAAATTCAAATTAATCGATTAAATCGATTTATCGCCCAACCCTATTTCCACAGTCAGTGATGTATGCTGTGTTGTGGAAACATTAATTTAACACAAACAGAAACACTGCTCCTGTTGAGGTCTCGTATATACGGTTTAGTAAACACCATTATGTCATCTTAAAAAAACAAGATTTCATCCTGAGGAAATGCYGAGTCAACGGAAAACACAGTTTTGAGCTAGTGTTAGCATTGGACAGGCTAGTGACTAGCATGGATAAGCTGGTGTTAGCATTGGAGATGCTAGTGACTAGCATGGATAAGCTGGTGTTAGCATTGGAGATGCTAGTGACTAGCATGGATAAGCTGGTGTTAGCATTGGACAGGCTAGTGACTA